ACTGAAACACATGTTTAGTCATACTCTTGTGTCTAAATCTACCTTCGCTGGATGGTACTCGCGGATTATTCCTCGTAGTCGGCCAAGATGACATTTAGAACACTTTCAAGCCCCGCTATGCAATAACTTGATGATAACTGTCTGTTGTTTGATCCCCCGATAACTTGTCCAAACTGGTCAGTAATTGAACGCGTTTGGTCCTGAAACTGCAAGCGCAGTTCCACAGGTCGCCAACATGCATTTTCACTAACAAATAGGCTGTGGAAGCATAGGTAGACAAATGTATTTACTTGGTCATTGTTGGGCCTCTTTATAGCTTCAATCCCATTTCGATTTCCGCTACTGTTCCAAATAACAACTAATAATCCGGCTTCTATCGCCGATTGGAATGTTGGCCGATTCGCTCTGATCACTTATCCGAGTTTTATTTTGCATTAACCCTTTACGGCAAATCATTTTATTGAATGAAAACTTCACCTGACTAAAACGCAATGTTTTCTGCACAAGGGCATATCGCTCTGTAGCTCACCGTACTCGATATCTCCTGTCGCTATTGTCAATGGTATGCCCGCCAGTACAGTAATAAGACTGTGCACGTCGGTGAAACAAGCACATGCCTTTAGTTTGTCAGGTTTAGTTAGAGGCGACTATTGATCTGAAAATGTGTTGTGGGCGAGTATATGCTGTGTTGTCTTCCAAAACCTTCACCAGCACTGAGAAATGCGAATTAAAGTTCACGGTCGGTGTTTCCCACAAATGTCCTTTAGCAGAAAATCTCAAATCTTACTTATCTACCTAACGGGAATCCAGATGTTTTGATAGGATCACTCCATCCTTGATGCTTTTGCCAAACTTTCATTTGTTCTACAATTCCTCGGAAATCAGGCAACAGAACGGTTTATCGAAGCACGCCGCCGAGGTCTACGAGATTTTCAGTGGCTAATTTGGTGACATTTTAGGGATGCATGTACCCACTAAATTCATGGACCCACAAATGCTAATACTACTAAATACTCAACACTAAATACTCAACGAGTGAATTGTCCCAAAGATGTAAAACATAGTGACAGAAACGCAGAACCATTTTTAGCAATCCTAAATTGGTTAACCTCTTAAGTCATATCAAGTCAGTTTGGGCAAATTTTGGTCAGTAACTAGATTGCTTCCAACTGAATTGCTGACGCAAAAACTGAACCTGCGATTGTATAGACCCCTGAATTTTTAAATTTGCAGAGGGTTCCGATTTGGTGCTGTCAAGATGACCCCGAACAAAATAGATTGTGATGTGACACGGAACCTCACTCGCACGTTGGACCAGCGTGGTCCGCGTATATTTCAGCAGGCCAATACTTCAGTGGCATTCAAGTATTGTTGTTGCATGTGGGATTCTTGCTCCGGATAGTGGAAATACATTCAAGGGAACTGTTTAGTGTACCACAACAGCTGGTCAGATGAATTTTCGCTGACTTCCGTTGAATGGAGAGAATCGCTTCGTTTGAGAGGCAGTATATGTTCGAAGAGTCTGCCGAAATTATCGGATTTTATTTCACTCAGCCGATTCATTCATAGTTTATGCGGTGTGTGCATGACATCTACGTTCCACCCGTCAAATGCATAGCTCCGTTCGTACGGAAATTCGGTTCACTCTGGTTTCTCACACATTATGCTTCACCCCGGAATATTAGGGAGGTGCACAACACTGATGATGATTCCCGATAAGGATAAAATGGATCTGCAGTGCCCTTTGTCTTTCCCTCTAGATTGACTTCACTTTTAAAACGACATCTTGAATAAAACATCAGAATGTCCATAGAGTTATCAGTATGATCTAGAATTGCTCAAATTCGCTGAAGGTATAATGGCAAGGAAACACTAAATCGTGAAACCACACGCAATTTTCCGGGCGGTTACAACTGCACTCGGGACCAGGTTTTATCATATAACTCCTGATTTTCATTGCTGGTTTCCTTGTAAATACTACACAACAAACCTGGCAGACAATATCACATCTGGTTAGATTATCTGGGTCCATAAGGAAATTCGAAGATATCAGGCCTCGATAAGACCATGGAACGTAATCGGAATATTCAACGCAACTCAGACTGGCGGCTGATTTTACAGACCGGCCAGCGGATACAAGCATGGCAACGCCAAGTGGAACATCCGGGTATTATGTGGGGTGTCAGGAAAATCCCACGTTTTCCACGTCGGTGATTCACAAAGCAGTTTCACAGTTTTCTGCGTGCGAAAATTCGAAACAAATGGCATGAGCGAAAAAAACTATTCGACCATTAATTTGCACACCGTCAATCCATCCCGCAAACATAATAGTGGAATGTTGCTGCACATACACACTTCCAAATTTCAAACTCCATTTCGCGTACCGCTTGAGACCAACATGCGTCAGAATCACCTTGCACCGCATACATTCTCAATGACAGGCAAGCACACCCGAACAGGAACCAGGCCCGGTGGTTGCAAATGCGTATCCGGTAGTTCCGTGGGTACGGGCTGCATTGCATCGCCTCGACTCGCCTCGCGTTGCATTGCACATGTATATACAGAGAGAGATTGTGGGGATTGGCGTTCGTAGGCAACCAAGGAGTAGTCGATCATGACAATCCCGATGACAGATCTCCGTATGCTGGTGCTGACCGTGTTGTTGGTCTCGGTTGCAGGTCTGCCAGAGCAGACCGAACGCATTCCGAGGTATTTCGGATCGTGGGGCAAACTTGGTGTATGTTGATGAACAGAGTCGTTTGCGTCCCGTGGTATTCATGTGACGTGTTTTTCAGTCGTTCAGGTTGTTGTTCCGTAGGTTAGTTTCTTGCTCATTTGGTTGGATAGCCAGCTTGTTAGCTGTTATTCAGATAGTCAGCGAATTGTCTGGTCAGCTATTTAAATAGTACTCCCAGTGGCCGCTTGTAAATTCTAACGTCTCAGTTGTGTGATCGAAATATATGTCTGGCACGTCTGCCTTCTGTTCCAGGGAAACTGTTGCCCTTGGACCACCACGGTGCTTTGCTGTCCACCCGCGTTGTGTTGTGATATATCTCCGGACTTCTGTTTCCCACGTGCAAGCGGAAGCGAAGCCTTGGACCCGGTTATTCCATTCAAATTTGGGCCAGTGACGAATATGTTGTGGAATAATACTTGTCGCAGTGCTGCATAGTCTAGACGAAATGTTACGAAGTTTTTGACTTATATGGGAAGGTTTCTACGCCGGAACCTTTTTGGACGAACGTACGTTTAGATTATCTCGCTCTCAGGTGTTGTCGTTATTTTGGTTGTGCAAGGCTCACCTGATAAATTGTTGGTCACCGGTCAGAGGTCTGAATATTTGCTACGCAATATTCTGTTGGAAGTCATCCGTAAACACTTAATCACTGCCACTGCGTTATGTCTTGCGCCCGAATCCGTGAGATGGTACTTGTATTGTCGTGGTTGCGTTGTCATTTTCCACAAATTTCAATCTAATTCGAATGTTCTTCTAATTCTCTGCATCAGTGATTTTCGCCATCAGCTCCGTGAGATGGTACTTGTATTGTCGTGGTTGCGTTGTCATTTTCCACAAATTTCAATCTAATTCGAATGTTCTTCTAATTCTCTGCATCAGTGATTTTGTTGACGCCATCAGCATGTTCGTGCGACAAACCGAATTCGACTCGTGGTAGACCGCTTGAACTGAGTGGAAGATGTGGGACGTTTCATCGGGTTTGCCTCCGTTGAGCCCATGCAGCTCGTTCGCGTTTTTTCTTCATAATTATTGATATGCTTATTTCGGCTCAGTGGTTCTGGATGTTGGTATGAAGCACGAAATTGCTTGTTAAATTAATATTTGTCTTGTTGAAATAAGACCGCAAAAACCAAATTTCCAACTTCCACACGAGAAAACCTACGCACATTATAATATATCCAGCACTCATTTGGGCCACGTTGACTTGCGTGCAAAACCACATAGGTCAATATCTCACAATGGAGCGATCTCAACAAGTGCTCCTGGGTGAATAGAGTAATAGGTAATACATTTGGGCAAACCACAAATTCTGGAATTTCGCCGACTTTTTTCTACTCCGGTTCTGGAACTGCCGTTTCCTAAGTAGATCGTGAACACCCACGTACACCAGGGAAGTTACCGAAACCCACGTGTTGATTTAGACAACATGTGCGATGGCAAGTTCAAAGAGGGTCTTACTTTCAGGCCCAATACCAGAAAGGCTCTGTAGGTGCAAAGCGGAAACAACAAAACTGGAAGTGACCTCGCACACCGTGAGAATAGAAGAATAGAATAGTCACCCGCCACCTCCGCCCACCCAAAGCTACCATGTATTTCCATGATTTACCAACTCAGTCCACGGTATGCAAGTATGAGATCAGATGCAGTCCTCATTAGCACTTCCGAATGTGGCCATCACTTCCGGGCCTTGCCTCCACTAGGATGCCTTTCTCACAATGTCCGCGACCTGGATTTTCTTTGCTGAACAAGACAAAATCTTCGGCTCGAAAATCTTGACGATTCCCTATCCACCTATGTCCCAACTGTAAAAGCCGAATATACTCCTTCAGCCGTCGACGACAAAGGGTATCGGCCAACACTTACCCCCTTTTTTCAACGCCCGGTTATATCTGCCACGTACGTTGGTCACATACCTGACAAATTTGTACACAATTTTGTTGTGAAAAATCTCGCGAAACTTAATTTCCGTAACTGTGGAATCCTCGGGATGAAACGGCAGAAAATTATGTGCCTTGAACGGTATTCCTGGCCCCCAAGTATTATATTTTCGGATGATTTTAATCAAACTCTCTGCTGTTCTTTATTCGCGGAGTTTGTCAAACTTTTTCGTTACCAAATCATCTTTCATATCGTCCTTTCACAGCAGAGCGCGTCGTCCAAAAACGATTTCCTTGGTTGTTTTAGAATTCGTTGAGTCTGCAAGGAACGAGTATTTCAAAACACAGGCTTGTTCCGACGTGAAAACTCAGATGTGTTCACCGGATTGATGGTAGTGGGGTAGTGGTAACACGCTCAACTTGCACGTCAGATGTCAACAGTTTAAACTCCGGCGCGGCAGTCTGATAAGAGCGAAACTCGAGTCCAGTGCTCCTTCACTAAAATAATTAGGTCAGGACAAGGGGAGGCCTCTTCAACCGAGGATGATGTGAATATAATATGAAAATGTTGTATGGGAAATAGCCCTTCCATCTGGCCGATCTCGAAGAACTGGACTGTATGGCTAGAAAAAAATCCATTTCGACGGAGCGAGTAATTCCAGTCACATAAATGATGGTTTACTCTTGAACCTGTAATAATTCTGAGAACCTTTGAGCCGTGATTGTGGTAAAAACATTCAGTATAACTATCAACATGTTTTGAAAAGTGATGATTTTCTCCATGTTGCCCATTCCACTGTCAAACGTTCAGTATTTGTACGTAAATTACACGACCAGAACTCGAACTTCTTGCTAATCAAAGCGTTGTATTCTTGAAGTGAGTGGCTTTAATGCTCAGCTATTGTCTGAACAGATCCATGGGCTCAAGGGTTCACCATTTTACTAAAGAACAAACGCAAGATAGTGACTTCTATTGCTTGAGCGGGGAATCAGTGAAAGTGCAAATGATGTATAGGAAATCGCGCTTCTATCTCGCCTATCTAGCAGAACTGGATTGCATGGCTATAAAACTTCCATTTCGACGGAGCGAGTAGGTCTAGTCACATAATAGACGGTTTATTCTGGAACCTGTAATAATTCTGGGAATATCTGAGCCACGGTTTTGTTTAAAGCGTTCAATGTTGATACCCACATGTTTAAATGGTGACGATTTTCTCCATGTTGCTCAATCCACTCTTTGAGACGTTCAGTATTTACACGTGAGTGCCACGAAGGCACATCAAGTCTGAGACTGGATACTCGCGATGCATCGGATATTATTCCAGTATCATCGTTTGTGTCTTTCATATGTCCACGAGGGACACGGTCAAACTATCGGACTACTGTGTTCACAACTGTATGCACGAAAAGTCCAGTGGCCATACAGGACTAGATTTAATCTGTATATTTGCCAATGTCAGGCCCCGAACCCAATGTCTACTCAGATGGATGAGAAATTAATGTGATTTATAAAACCTACAGACTTTAACGAAGCTGCTTTAGTCAGCGTCCATTTTGGATATCCCATGAAATGCTCCGAAGATTGTCGGAGGATTTTGGAAAATTGCATGATTGTCGTTCTTGAAACAGTATTATGTTCAGAACTAAGGCGAGAGGTTTTAAATGCTTGTTCTCGTAAGGATCCACCTACAACTTACTAGGGTTACCAGTTTGGAATCTCGAAGTTCCAGCATGAGCCAGGTTATCTGGAGTAGAATTGAGCTGTATAGAAATGGGCGGCTGGGCCTTTGCGTCACTGCGCACGCTGTGGACACGCGAAGATCCGTCCAATGTACGCTTCAGTGATATCTCGTGGTTAAGTAATGTAATCAAGCGGTAGTTTTCTTATTAATTTATGATACTTCTACGGACCTGGTAATCCTCACCTCACATAACGTTTGTGTGACTCACTACGCTCAATGATAGTTGTCTCCTACATCCTATGGCTTCTCGAATGTCTTTCGCGGTTAATGCCAACCAACTGCAATGGATAGGGACTAGATTAGCCTGTCCGTCGATAATTTACACAGTGTGTGCTACTACCACTCAGTATTACATACCAGAATCCGTCACAATTTGAATCTCCGGTCGAAACGACTTCCCACATCACAATGCCTAATGTGCACACCTACCGTAAGGGTATAAGCTCCCACTAGGCTATCTATGGGAGTGAGTTTCCGATAAATGTTACGCTTTTCACTAACGCCGCAGCGTGTTCTATTAAGTTTGTATGAACAATTTAGGATTCTCAGAAGGAACATGGAGTTTGCGGGGAGTTAAACAATACAGAGTGGTATTATCTTCACGTATCAGAATAATTTTGTGGGGCTTTAGGCAACTTTCGTCTTTTCTTCACAGAACGTCAGGAAAACATCAGTCTTGAGTACTGAGGATCATGAAGTTGCATAGACAGTAACAAAGAATCGCCTGATACACAGAACGATACGAAAAATTGTCATTCCTATCTAGGAATACCATTGAATCACGCATTATTTGCTAGACCAACTGAAATTGATCTAAATCTTTCTACATTCCTGTTCATCTCAGTTCACCGGGTGAATGGTCTATGCTGATTTTGTTGCTACACGAAACAGCTGGTTTGTCGAAACTTCTTTCCAAATTACGAGCACCAGGACAGTTGGCGTCCGCAATGGGATGCAAGTTACACAAGGAGAAGGCTCACTTGTATCCTCCAAAATTCAAGGTTGCAGATGTATGATAGATTTGAAGCCGATTTTATATGAATGTGGAATGAAGAAATTGTTCGAGGGAGCAGGCTTGTCCAGGTTGTCCAAATCGTTCTTGTCTGTGACCGATGCCTATCACAAAGCCGTGCTAGAGGCAAGTTTAATATATGAGAATTTATTCCAACCATCTGAGTAGTGTTCGGCCGTGTTGTCTATTATAATAAACTAACCCAACAGGATTTATTCATATCATTCAAATCATTCAAATAACGAATGCATGGCGTGTCATTATTCGGTGCATTTATCAGCTAAACAAGACCGTCGAGGAGCCCTGTTTACATTCTACGAACGTACACCATTCTGTAACTGGAAGAAAGACTCCTCAAAATTTATCGTTCTGTGCAAAGTGAACAACATGTTGGGCCTGCGGAATTCTCACACAAAAAATGTGCACATGAACCAAGTTCATGTATATAGATTGTTGTTCATTCATAGTAGTGTTTGTGCCCTGGAACACCTCATTATCTTCCAGCCTGTACGCTTGCGATCGATCAGTCCACTAAGTTCGGGCTTGGTTTTTAGTATTTTGTATTGCTTACCAAAGTATGACCGTGTATCACGTGCGAATGTCTATTTCAGAGCCCATATTTTGACCACATCTCGCATTTCAACACCTCAGAAATGAGCAGTAGGAGCACATAATCCTGCTCTCATTTTCCTTCTATATTCAGCTCGATGACGAAGGAGTGACAGTGACTGCCGCGACATTATTTACTCAGAGTTTTAGTCCTCGCTTGCCTGAGACCATTTCTGTCGATCACCCGTTATTCTTCGCCCTCGTATGTGATTCTGCGGTGCCCGTGTTTGTTGGGCATGTTTTCGCACCAAACTGGGACTAATACGCGGACGATGTTCGTCAAATGAATTTGTAGTATTTACTTGTCGCCTTCACCGAACGCAGCAATGCCAGATGCAGACTGATTTTTCTCGAAATATATATTGCATACACGTTGCACACTGTATAGTGTATAGTGTATAATCGATGATTTGATAACAACTCTGCTGATGTTGTCGGCTCCTTGAATACGTCTGTGAATAAGTTAGAGTATGAACTTCCTACGCAATGCAATGAAATGGATAAACACACTTATTGTATAAGTAAGTGATCCACGCTGTGAGATAGAGTGGCGCCATTCCGTCGAGAGAGCACAGGAGGAGGGCGGGAGAATGCGACGATTAGTTGTATGCTTAGAACATTTAACGATTCGGTGTTTTTGGACAGGAGATCGGTGGAGCAGAAACAATCAATTTGACCGAGGATCTGTGATTGATGTTGGTGAAATTCCAGTGTAAAATCAAATAAAATGGTATGGAAGCGGGATGATGGTGTGACAGTTCTTGTTACACCATTTGAAACTACAGAGAGCAGAAGTCTTCCTGAGGATCAACGAGTCCCGAATAACGTCACGATGCAGAACGATGCTCATCCGAGTTCGGCCAGAGTTACTTGGCAAGGTGTGGTAGACCCCACAATATACAAACTGATAGACCTCAAACTGCATACGGTCGTTTGTTTATAGGTAAATCGTGACTGATTCTACAAGCACGACCTAACCTTTAGTATCTTCCCCAGATTCCTTTTCAATTCAATCCAATCGGAAGTTATACCAGTGGGCACCAGAACCAAAGCCATCTCCTCCTGACTTCAAACCCGGCCTCACAGAATTTAGTCTGTCAGTTCGTATGTTGTGATGAGGTGGGGCTAGATAGCGAGTGACCACTGATATTTGTATGTAGCGCCGGGGTAGGAGCAATCTAGAACTTCTGTTAAATCACTGGCGGAAATCTACCATTCCATTGCAAACATAGACGCCTTACGTTTCCATCAACCCCGTCCGCATACGCCTCAATCAAATTGTCGCACACAAATCGTTCACTCTCTTCAATTGCAATGCCGACGACCACCTTCAACGCCAGGCGGGAATCCTGCAACTTGGGATGGGCTTTTTCTTGTTGATCAGCAACCAAAATGGAAACGGATATGCTGAATATTCACCAAGTTGATCAGGTGTTCTAAAGCACACCAACCGGAACGATTGACTTCAAGTTTACCAGAGTAATTACCAAGACGGCTAGGAGAATCACTACACTTTGCGCTGTCCTGCGCTTCAGGGACAAGTGGCCCCAATCTGGGAGGGCACGTGAAAAATTCATGCATCTGAGGGTTGATGAAACCCCCGTGAAATATCTGACATAATTTCAGGATAAACTAACTTCAAATGCTGAGTGATATCTCAAGGTAAGTCTGGGAAAATTTTAGTCTCCAATCGTTCGCGACGGAATTTGGTAATGTTCCGTTTCATCTTCAAGAGTAGGCCATGAAGAGTCAACATTAGTGTGCAACAAACGAAACAAAACGCTAAAAATTGCAGGATGATTAGTTCACTACTGAGCGCATTCACCCGGAGCTAGGTTAATATAACCTGACTTGACTCTGAACCGAGGTTGATGGTGGCCCCGGTCATGGAACTCCCGCAGTGCTAATGTTTTTGCCTCATTCATTCATGGATGCACTAATCATGACAAGTTTGCTGCATTCACCTTTCAAAGTCACTTTAACATCAATGAAGATGCAGGTTTACACGGAAATTCATACAGTCGGGGTTGTATTCCCAGTTACATGCTTCCGCCGTTTTGACGGAATGTGATCGAGTATTTCAACTTAGTTTACGACAATGCGGGTGCCAATAATTAAATAAAAGTGTGCCGGACCAGTTGAAGATTATTCAGCAGTAATAATGCTTTGCAATGTTGCTGTTTCATACCAGACTAGCTGAATGCATCAGGCATGGGACAATTTGCTAGTTCTAAATAGGACTGAACGAGAATGGGATCAAATCTCCCGATTCTCGCACACACGAGATTGTGTTCACTCGAATGTCTTGAATAGGGAAAACAGTGATGCGTATCCATCAGTTTATTTGATCACCCCACTACAACAATGTACAACACGGAATGGTTGACATTTTATTCTGAATCCAAGCCAGTTGTGATGTCACGCGCACCAGCATTGTGGGTATGCATGTCGAGTTGTCAGAACAACCACTAGACACTGTGCCAAACAGAGTTGGGTTCTGTGGATAGTTCCTCACGAATCCAGCTCCACTGTCACCCTGGAATCAAAAATGAGAAGGCATTAATCATCGATCACAAATATTGCCAATGCGTTTTTTTAATGAAAAAACAAACGGACTTAACTGCGAAGAGATCTTCCTGACAGAAACATTCTTCTCAGATTTACCATTCTCGTCATTAGGTGCAGTACTCTGATGATCTTCTCCACTTATCTGGTATTCACTTGGTCATCGAAGGTAGTCGGTTATTACAGTGAACGTGCAGCTCACCGATATACACAGGAATAAATTCGATTGATGCATTGTTTCACTGTGCGTTCTCTCTCTGTGAACACCCGTGCACCTGATTAGGATATGTCTGGAAGACTAGAGTCGAAAGCTTCCTAGGGAATTTCCAAATGTTTAGTCTTTCGTAATTCCTGTGGCGTTTTTAAAAGATGCAAATATTCTGATGCAAAACCAACGAAATTCGACTCACCTTCATTGTTTCACATTAACTATTCCTCCGATCCATCTATCTACACATTAAGACTTCCTGTAGAGGGTCTTTGTAATCTACCAGTTTGGTTACCTTCATTTTGTGGAATGAATCTGCAAAGTCTAATGCAACTGAGACTACGTATTGCACGTTTATTGTTTGGACAATCCTAGGCCAGGCAGTTTGATACCAACACTGTGAAGACCCGGACAGTGAAAGTAGTTTTCATAACCAATGTGATTCTCCCCATACTGGTGTACAAAACACACTGAGACCAAAGAAATACGTATTTGAACGCCAGGTATCTAGTAAGTGGAAACATGCAGTCAGGATTTGGATGCATTGGTCTAGGCAAGCGTCACGCAACGACCTCGTTCAAACGTCCAGACAACCTCTGCTAGCTTATCATCGGACACATCGGTTCTAGAATTCTGATAAACAAAGAAAATCAACCACGATTATGCGATATCTATACGTTTGCTCAAACAGTGCGATTACGTGGAAAGACTTCGGTCACAAAGTTTGCGCCCGGACAGGTAGCTGGGTGCACACGAAGACAACCAAATAAACAGTTACAATCGACTAACCGGCATCGCACGTCTTGTTAGTTCGTCGTCGATGCAAAAGTTGTAAGTAGGATTGTACGCCCCGTGGAGTTGCGAACATTTTTGTTGTGTCACAACTTTAAATGTTGCTAACTGACCGGTGGTTGGGTCAATGTCAGGATGCAAGAAGATTCCAAAGCCGACAATAACACCCGCATCATTCACTTGTGGCAGCGTGGAATTTTGTGTGGTGGGGAGATTTACGATGCTAATGTTTGGTCGCGTGAGATCCAATGGTGTGGATAATTTGAGAAGGGCGATATCATATGCGTCTGTGTGAGAGGAAAAGAAAATGCAAATTGATGCGCACAACCAGAATGAGTAAAGCAAAAAAACAACGTGCACCAGATCTCAAAACCCATTCTAATTCCCGAGGTAAACTTGCTTGATTTTGATCAGAATGAAATACAATCTTGCGTGTGGATGATTCATCGTAATCACAGAGAGCCATGCTTGTCCCTAAACGAGCAATCCAAAGTTATGCAATGTGAGATCCGAACGGGACATCTGAGTCAGGACCAGCACACACGAGAGAGCTCTGACGCATGACGTGTGTGATCAAATTTCCTATCCGGATTTGGTGAAACATTATGATATCTTACATGAATTCCACGAGAATGATTTTGGTAACTACAAATCATCATTTATTTCAAACGGAATGAATGTTCTCCTTCTGATGAATCATGCACTACAGTCTTCTACAGCTGGATATCAGCTTGGAAATCGTACCGCTTTAGGAATACCCGTGCTTTGCAGCCCTAACTAGTGATATCCAAATCAGGCGAAGGAGAAATTCCAACGGAAGAATGTGCATAAAAATTACCACGAGGGATTCAACTGGGTTCCAGTGGAAACTAGAATAATGTGCAACCTAATTTACTTCGCCAATACTAAAGAAGTTCACTTGCGTCAAGCAGTAGTGCGCAGTTTAATAAGGTGAAAGCTCTCGCAACTGATTGGCTCGCGTTGTGATTAATTCTCACCCCCACCGCACCCCGCAAAAAGTCGAATAGTATTACTAATATTACCATTACAAAAAGTTTCACGAGGCCAATTCGCTTCACTTCGAAACTCACCCTTATTTTTAGTATAGTTTTCGTGCGGATAACACGTTGGCGAATGTGCCACTTGTATGTTCGGTGGAACTGCATTACTGTGGAGAATGAACAAAGAGAGTGCAATATTACTCTGACCTGTCCCCACAACGCAAACCAACTTAGATACATTCACTCCGTACTTTTGCGCACAAACTTCGTGTCGAAAACTTTTGGCGCCGTCCGTTGCAGAAAAGAGGAATCAAGATCAATAGTAAACAGTTCACAGAGCGTTGATTACGATTACACTGGGAACGATCATCATTCACCTGCAGCCCTAAACCGCGTACATGTTTCACGGTTGTTATATGCCACCGATGTTTCGCACACCGATGATGCACGAACCCATAACTAGACACAGAGTGCAGCGACGTGCTGTTTTGTATCAGCACTCGACAGTTCGCCGTGAAACGCTCAACAAATCGTGAGTTAGGAACGCTTAGACTATTTAACATGTTCTGTATTACGACGGTGGGAGATCCGGGATGAGCTTTGTCTTCTGGGTGCCGAACAACTGTGAGCGAAGTCCCCGGGAGCATTTCGACCAGACAGGAATTAGTAGCAGCGACGTAGACGTCCACGATCATCACAGGGGCGAATTCGAAGAGAAGAGGTATGAGTGGGCACTCTTTCAGAACAACACATGATGCATTATATCAGTGAAAATTCGTAACGATGAAATATGCGGTCAAAAATACTCTCAAGGTGCAAACACGACTGCGGTTTACCTAGAGCACACATGAATGATTACAAGGTAAACGTACGTGTAGGCAGTGAGGGCATCAACCTACAATAAATAGGTTAGAAGTAGAGACGATTAGCTTGGAATGGCACAACAGTGAACGAGATTCTGTACACAACTAACTTACCGCCACATTCGGGTTCCCTGCTTCAATGACCGAACGAACAATTTTAAGTTGCGCATCAACACAACAGTGAGCAGCGGTTAGTATCCATTTATTTGACAAAATATTACCGGAACAGGTAGATGAGTTCTGGTCACTCCACAAAACAGTAAATTTCACCGCCCATTTGTAGGTGCCTTGAACCACGTTCGTACCACCAATTATGCGTTTATCCACGAGTGCGACATCAACAAATGTCAGACCTGAAACGGTGCAATCAAAGGAGACGTCAAAAGTGAACTGTACCTACGTTGTGTCTCACAAAGGGAGCGATGAATAAGAATTTTTCGTAGAACATTGGGAATTAGTAAAAGGATATGGGATTGTAAGCTTACCAGCGGTAAATATTAGGACCAGTAGTTGAGGTATGCACTTCGGAAATCTGAAAATTAACGGGGAAACCAACCTATCATCCACCACAACTATAGTGAAGATACTCAACGTCTTTCAGGTGGATGATCCTAGAAATACAGACATCTCTATAAGGTTGAGAAGATAAAATGTTTGAGAGGTCCTTCGTGGTTGGTTCCAAGAGTCAGAATCTACACGTCATTCTGTAATGCGGAAAAATTTCGCCCCATTCGCGTGACGGAGAAAAGACAGAAGTGATAGCATAGATCAGGCGATATCGTAGCACAAGAAACGAACTCAAAGACGCGTAGCTTACAGCTGAGGATGCATGGCTTTTTCCTCCACAGATACCAGATGGGTTTTCAAATCTCGGCCTCCTTATATATCCTTCTTTCTCCGAGGGCCACCATTCTATTTTTCTTTTGACTATGTACAGTAGGTCAACATGACCTACAAGACGGTTGTGAGAAATTCAAAAATCTGGTGTTACCCTCTTCTCAGACTACACAGTAAAATTTTGTTTGGACAGTCGATTAGGTAAAAACATGTTCTTCAACTGGGTTTACCTTTCTTCTGGTCACCTGTGTAACACTTATTTTAGGCGATTATCTGCCATTGTACTCTGTGGCTGGTGTGGCTGTTCTATTTGCAACTCTGTTCTTCTCCAGTTATTTGCCCAAGAATTTCACTCGCAATATACTTTCCAGTTTGTTGATAGTTATGTGAAACCTGATTAATAATAGATATCTTTCGATCATTAATTCAGCCACCATTCCGCTCAGCCTCAGTTGAGTGTAAAACGAGAGTACTCCGCGTATAATCGACACGGATGAAACAAATGTGTGGTTTCAGATGAATGTCATTCTTCCGTTTCTCATTAGAGATATAATGATATCTTATTTCCACGAAATGTACGGAGGTAGAAGCATGTATTTCCAAAACGTAGAATGCATGCTGTACGGGTTGGAACTGAGTGAGGCTCCTGTTCCAAAACCAGAAATCACAAGGCTGAGGTGCATAGTATCGAGTGGCTGTACGACGCATGTGCTTTCTACGGCGAGCCATTCTCTACGTCAAAGTATAAACGAAAAAACCATAAGTAAGTCGAGTAAGCATCCGGCAACCTCTGGACGAATGCTGTCAATGAAGCGAATTAGTCCTTCGTTGTAATTCAGTGTACACAGTCGTGGCATTGCTGTCTGGCTTAAATAATTCTGAATGGGTGAAATTAGGAAACTTTTGATGAAATAGAACGAATTAGAGGATCTTTCATCAAATCGCTGTTTTTTGTCTGATATAACTAACCGCTGTCCTTGCTTCGGTGCTTTGGTGTTGAGAAAAGACTCGCCAACATAGAAAAAAAGAGCTTTATTTCGAACAAGCGCCTCGCAGTGTTTGAAGGGAAACTTTGACATTAATGCAGGCTGTCTGATCGGCGTTTGGTGAATGCCCATCATTGGCCGTGGTTTGACAAAGTGCCTGCACACTCGTCATTGTCGACTGTGCTTCTTTGGGTCCCTAAACACTCACCGGGAGTTGCTGAATTGCTTTACTGCTTGCACGCTCGTTGGAAGCTGTCTTTTTTTATCTAGATACTTGACGGTTTCCCTACTTCCATTTTGAGTGTCCCAGTAAATTTTCGGCATTCTGGAATTCTTTTCAGTAAGCTCATTTGCCTGCCAATATTCCTCTGGTTAGTATTCCCCAAGGTGATTTCAAGATACCGTTCCATGCACGATTAGGTTGGCCGGTATTGTAAAGTAATCTCACTGTTGATAGTGTGAGGAGATTTGGGAGTTTTGTGGAGATTTCGTCCTGTAAGTCAAGCCAATCTATGCTGAAAAGCCGAGAAGCACCATACAGCTGTTTCATCCTTATCGGGATTCATCAGCAGTGCGCATCTCACGAAACTCCGAAGAGCCTCTCGGCTAGTAGTCTGAACACTTAACCGTTCGGCCACGAGTGGCTGATCAGCAGTGTGATTAACTCGCACTTAGACAGGATATAGCGCCGCTTATCCTTCAATCACGGGATCCACATCAGGTGGTCACACGTGTTGACTGGCTCCTCGAGTAAAGGCTTCTCAGAGAGAAGTTTCACTCATTGGGTTAAGTTTATTCTTGCACTGAGCTAATTATATAACTTGCTTGCATCTGTTGTTTAAACGAATTTGTGGTTTTTCTATCCTGTTGCCAGGTTGCATTTAATCAATGTGGACATTGGAGTCCCGTTGTGAATTAGCCGTTCCTAAACTGGTGTATACAAGCCGGCCTAGTCACACGATTTGGCATTTTTATACTTGTATTATTTTATTGTAGTATTCGTAGTACCGCATTTGTTGATAAAACTCTGTTTGAACGGTTTGACTTTTAAGGTTTTGCGAGTAACTCAACCTGGAGCAGCTGATTGCTCCACACCCTTCTTTAAGTTAAAAGATGACACTGACTGTGCTCACCCTATCTACGAGTCTCCCAACAAAAACTCCCGGGTATTGAAGAACTTCCACTGTTCGCACCAGTACTGCATCGACGAAGAATTTCAACATGAGAGGACAGAGTTTACATTCCTGTCGGAAACCGTTTTTTGATAAGAATCTTCTACAGAGCCCTCCATACACTCTCAAGTGCACACTCTCATGGTGTGTTGTTGACGAATTTCTTAGGCAACTGTGGCCGACAAAACTGAACCACAACAAGAATCGGACGCGTCTATGAAACCAAGCTATAAAAAACATTGTGGATCGGATGTACATAAGGCGTTGCCCAAACACCTGACGAAGACTGAATATGTGGTCGATGCAGCCTCTACCCGGTCGAAATCCCACTTGATGCTCACAGGCCGAAGATGGCGCGCCGTCGTTAAACTGGCAAACAGTGACCACCACAGCTTGGGTTCTCACCCCGGACAAGGTGGCAATCCCCGTTTCCTAACTTCTACAGGTCAGGGTGACAATTATAAGGAAATTTTATGTATTGCAATCTGTCGCCGACAATCAGTAAACTACAAATGGCGGGGGGAATTCTTGCGTATGAGTGCTGTCCATTCTTCGAATGCCTGAGGGTATTTGTTTCTCATTGCCCGACATACATAAGTTTAAGACTTCACTTTGAATGAACACGAGGAATCACCTACATTATGTCGGACAACATAAAAAGAACTGGCCTTGCTGGTAGAGCAACAAGACGATAGCTATGAGTGTTGGTGCTACGTTCTGTTGGTCGCGATTTACTTCTAAACCGAAAAGTTGGCGTTTTCTAACACATTAAGTGTTGCACCAGCTTGACGAAAGGATAAAGTAATACAATGCCATCTTAATAAAGCATTTTAACTTGGATGAACTTCAAATTGCCTTGTATTTCTTCCACTAAATCAAATGAGGCAAAACGCTGCGGTGCAAGTGTTCACACTCCACGGGTGTAGCTTTTTCAGGTTTATTTGTGCAAATAGAGAGAAAAAACAGGGGTTCAGAAGGACATGATAATTGAGAGAGTAATTTGCGTCTCCGAATTAGTAACCAAAGTGTTATGCGAACGTGTTTGGCTTCAACTTGTTTCTTGTTTGCTTAACAGACTGGACACTGAGGGAAAATAAACAATCTGAGAAAACGACCGGAGAGCTAAATTTTTCGCACACAACTTTTAATTCATCTTGATTCAGTGTGCATGAATGCTTACCCTGCGCAATGGAGAATGGAATCAGAATGCTGAGGCAACTGATCAGAATCCCTGTAGGTTTCATCGGAGTTGACCGAAATTCGTTACTGGGCTAGCTAACAAATCTTCGGTAAAATTTGCTTCACCAGGTAGATCATGAAACCGCAGCCGTGAGGTGACTTTGTGACCATTAGAACAATCATCATATTGGTCAGCTGAGGACCGAATTCCTGTCGAATCGAAAGGCCTGGGTTTGTGATATCCATTAAGTAACAAATGGGACACAGGTTGACAACACCGAATCGTTTTCAACGAATGTGTAAAGCAATTTATTCATCTATGGCACAACTGTTGATTCTCAGTCAGGGGCTAACGCCGACTTTTCCTGCGAGTTGAATTACCCCGAATTGGCGGTGTTACCTCAGAGTGATGGCTAAATTACAAGATATCTTGCCGAGACGGTTGATTTCCCTGGAACTGAGATATCAAACTACGTTGCATGTAGCTTCCATACTGGATGACTATCTCATCATCATCATCAACGACAGCATGACATCAGTGTTCAACACCAATGCTTCACCGCTGTGAAGCATGATGACTATCTTAAATGACAATTGGTTGCATCCCCGTAAAACGTTCGATGACCTGGGCGCACTTAATCCAAAAATAACCTGCGATGCTGCTCCTAGACATTGTGTTGGTTGTTAAGCAACAATGCGGCCCGTTCGTTTTGATAGACTGGGTGATGAGCAAAAAATTTGATTTTGATTATATTTCGAAAGTTCAATAACCCAAATGTATCTAGTCGTGATGTTTGAGGTGATGCCTGAACTAGGAAATTATTCACAAAGATGCTAAACACACTTCGACAGCCCATGACCGGTTTCGCCCCTTTTGAGGCTCATCATCATTTCATATGTAAATCACTTTGGTTTTCACTAGAGACTGAACTGAATCTCTCGTTTATGATGTTCTGCAACCGAATGTGCTGCGCACAGGCAGTTTCATGTATCAGTTGGAACGCTATTCGAACTTAAACGTACTCAAACGCTACTCAAACGTAGTGTGATATTTGAAGTCGGTGAACCGCGGACACCTGAATGTAACTTGTTTGCTTATAATATAATATTTGGTGGTCATGGACAAATTCAAGTCATTATAGAAATAGAGCTGACAACTGGTTCAGATTTAACAGCAGTATACGATCGCTATAATTCTATAATCCTGATAGCAGGGGAACACTTCGGCTTGCATCCCGACATAGCATTTGTTTACCTGGACGCAGTTACCTCAAAACGTAGTCTACCATGCACCTACTCGAGTTTGAATATCAACCGATGTAATGCTCACTTCGAACTCCATTCTGCTTTCCGCCCCATCATCTGTCCTAGCTGTCGTAATATTGCTGTAGTAACAGTAAAATAAGCATCACTTACTCAAAGGTAATGTGACACTTGAAGTCGGTGACCCGCAGACACCTCAATGTAAATTGTTTGATTATCATATAACATTTGATCGATAAAAGTCAACTTATTATAGAAACAGAACAGTTCAGATTGAACAGCAGTATATGATCGCTATAATCCTATAAGTCCTCCAGGGTGCACATGGGTTTATATCAGAGAAACAATGTGGCACATTCATTTTGCCAGACTGGAATGCGAAATCCACTGGCTTGGGTGATGAACATAATATTTGCTCGTTCTCAATTTCCACATGTTCGATCGCCTTAATTTGTCCGGTTATCATCGTCGAAGTCATGTCTGGACTAGAGACCCAATCGATGCGTGCAACTTATGGATCACTGGTTCCGAACAATCTCCAATATCTATTGCCGCACTTGGCAGATCAGAAGGCGATGGCTGCAGAAGTAAAGGCAAGGATGAATCCAGACAGGATGGACGAAACTTCTAATGATTTATTTCATAAAACAAAACAAATTCAAAGAATTCTCATCTCTAGCCGGGCTGTTACTGAACTTCTACTCACTGAAGTGAAGTGTGTTAATTCCTTATTGAAAAGGGAATCGGATCATTGGTATTGGGGTAAATTATTCAATCTCACATCCGCACACGCAGAGTCAAATGAATTTGGTCGGTCTCCCAGATCAAACCTGAAAGCACCGACATTTAAATGCATTTGACACTCTTCAGCGGATTTCGCTAATACGAGTATTAGCTATTTTTTGTATTTTTGTATGTTTATTCTATTCACAGTCATTTCTACTTGCGGTCTGCATGTTCAAACAGAATTCTTTACGGATCACAATTTTCAACCCTCATATTTTCGACAATTTTATTGACTTTTCTTGTTTTCTTGACGGTGAGTAGTCAGGTTTTTGAGGTCATGACAACTTATTTGACGTGCCCACGTGTGCCAAGCGGTTTACAA